TTGAGGAAGTTTTCCAGATACTCTGTTTGACAGTTCTTGCATGTCCAACACATGTGAAAGTCTCCGTAAATCCTTGAAAATTTTCCCTAATGGCAATGGAGATCCTTCCTGTTGCACACAATTACATTGTGTAAGGCTGCTCTGGAAACAAGGAGCCTGCTGTGGTCCCCTTTTCTTCTTGTGGTTCTGTGTAATTTGGGGATTTTGACACGGAGAAGGCTGCAGAAGCCCCTCTTCCCTCTGGTGTCAGCGCCTCTCTGTGCGAGGGGATTAGGACACGGCAAAGGAGCCGCAGAGACCGGGGAGGAGGTTGTGCCACAAACCAAGGTGGGGGCCAGGAGCCTTTCTCCATCGCTGTGGCCTTTTCGTCTCAGTGTCCTTCTAATATCTACTAATCGGCTTTTCATTTGTAGTCTCCCTTTTAATTCACCGGTGTTCATACCTCCGACATTAAGTTGGCAAGCTCGTGCCTGTGTAAAAGCTGTAAGTCAGGGCCGGGCAAATGGCTCCAGGAGTGCCTGGGAGCCTGGCGTGTGTCAAGGGGATTTGCATTTTGAAGACAGAGCTAATCCCTTTTCTATGGTCCGCACTCGTAGGCAGCTGCCCAGAAGCATTTTGCCTGTCCTCTCCTCCACCCTCCCCATTGACGGGGGTTTCAGAACAAAGAGGGCAGCAGGTCAGGGGTGGGAGCACCAACCTGGGGAGCAGGAGACCTGGCTCCTCTCTTCTGCTCTCACACAGCCTCCCAAGGTGACCCTGGGTAAGTCTCACAGACTACATCTACACGGGCACCAGAGCAGGTTTATGTGTGCTAACGTCCAACCCATCCATGAAGCTGGTCTCCAGCCCAGCTCCGATGGCCAGCCCGGGTCAGGAAAGCTGCTGGGGGACACTGGAAATGAGTAAATGCATAAACACCTTCCCAAAACTTCCAACCAGCCTTTTGAAATTTAAATTCCATCTACTCGCTACCGCTGGGGCTGTATTTTGAGAGCTCTGTGAAAATCTTGGCATGTGTTTCTGCTCCTCTGGTCTGCAGAGCCTTCTAAAAAGCTGACACCAGGCGAGGGTTAGGTTTCATATCATCTCAGCTTAAAGATGCACATACTGCAGAAGTTGCTCCAAGGCCAGCAGCTGACAGGGGAGACGTCCAGAGTCCCTGGATGAGACCACGCTTTTCAAAGCCAACTGCAGGATGGAGATACTCAGCATTCACCGAAATAAATCGGAGGGTTAAATGTAAGTATTCAGTTGGCTTTGTCAAGTGAACAGAATTCTTGTGAATATCCCTTTTGCCACTACTTCATTAAGAATATTAACCTTAAGATTGAGAAGGTGGGAGAATTGAATGCCAAGAAATCTGGCTGGATTTGACTTTTATGCTTCATTTACAGAGGCCAGGATGGTCTTTCCAAAGTACAGGTGATTATTTACACCAACCCTGTGCAATGACTGTCTTTTACGCAATTGTGATGGGGGGTTTGGATGCTGAGGAGGATTTTTTAGACCATTTTCAGCCCTTTCTGTGTGATTCTGTAGTTACCTGCCAAGATGTCCTAAGACGCAGAGGCCACAGCTCCTTGCTCACCTCTTGTGGAAGAAGGAAGACCTGCAACCCCAATTTGTGGTCTATAAATGCATCTCTTGCCAACAAATCAGCATTTTCCAGTGATGGGGGTGGGAAATATTTCCCTTAGAAAATCTCCCACCAACTTTACAGCAACAGACCACACCAAGTCCATCACTAGGTCATGGAGCTATTTGCAGGTTTCTGGTCTCTTATCTCTCCTCTTGGAGTGGGAGGACTTGCACCAAAGCAAGGGGTCCTCACCTCCGTGACTGTCCTGGGGAAAAAACATCCAGTGCTGACAATCTTTAGTGTGATTATTTTATATCACAAGGTTGGCTGGGCAAGGGGATGCTGCCAGAACAAGGAAACCATCCAGCACAGCACGGGCAGGTGGGCTTTTGTTGGCCATGCAAGAATGCAGATTCCCCCCCAAGCAAGGAAGAAAATAGAGTTGGGTTGCATTTGAAATAAGACTTGTGCAAAAATTTGCATAATAGCATGTAAAAAAATGTGATGTGAAACTAAATATAGTGCAGTGCTGTTTTACCAACCTCTGGTTAATCAAAGTTAACTGCATTATAATGTAACATGTGTTGTCTCGCTGCATATCAAATTTCCATTCTTCCAAACCATGGGCCTGTTTCTGAGAGGCAGCTCTACAAAGAAGTACAACAGAAAACGAAATCCCAGCCATGCTACACCTCAAATCGTAAGTAAACTTGCTTTTATACTGCTACAAAAGTTTTAATTCTTGATTTTAAGTCTCACCATGGCATTTGAAGCAAAGCTGGGTGGAAGGGTTGGGTGGAGGCAGGAGAAACACCCATTTCCAATTCTCTGGAAAAAGCCAGATTTGTCTATCATGTCGGGAACAGAAATATAAATATTTACTTGAACCAAAGCCATAATTCTCTATCAAAAGAAAGAAGGTTTCCAGGTAAAGCCTTTCAGCCTGCTCTATTTAATCTGCAATGTCTTGAGCCTTTCAGAGGAGCATTGTCACCATGTGAGTGTTAGCCAAGGCTTATCCTACAGGAAAGTTGAACAAGAAAGGATCACCAATTTTATCTTTGATTTTTTTGTTTCTTTCTCTTTTTTTTTTTTTTTTTTTTACTATATTTTTCTTCTGATTATCAACTCTTTCCATTTCCTCCTCTTCCTCCTATCATGAACCATGATCTCTGTCCTACCAAGTTCTTGCTATGGCTCCCAGGCCATATTGTACATTTTTCTACGTTATCTTGATTTAAAAAGCCGAGGATATATTGCAAAGCAGACCCTGGGCTGTTACCCTGTGTGAGCCTCGCTGGCCCAGTGAGTACCAAACTCTTGTTAATATTCATATTGTTGATAACGGCCGCGTTGGAGGCTCTGATGGGCTCAGTGGTGTTAGGTCCTGTACAAACACGTGTGGGAAAGACATGGGTCCCCGTGTGCTGAGTGAAATTCTCCCCTTTTTGAGCCCCGAGTTGATCGACCACCCTCACCCAGGGTTTTTTTACACCACGAGGGCTGCTGGCGTTGGGCACGTTCCTGGAAACACCCCACTCTCCCCGTTCAAAGCCCCTGTGGGTTGAACTCCTCCCCGGCTGCTGTTAATAGGTTAATGAGACCCTCGTCTGGCAGAGTTAGAGTGCCTGGCTTTCTAAGATAAAACTATCCAGCGACATTAGGAGGTTGGGCCTCTTTATGACTGAACGCCATTCATCCTGAGTACACAAGAGCTCGCAAATTTAATAAGCAGAATCCATTTCAGCCCCGTGGCCTGCCATGGCAACAGGAGAGAGGGGCTCCAGCCTCCGCTGCTCAGGCATCATTATCTCCAGGGCCATCTGCTCCAGAGAAGCACAATCCCAAACTCATTTAAATAGAGCCAGCCTGAAATATGTGACGATTTTTCCCAGTCCCCCCCCCTTTCCCTGCTCCCCGCCAGCTCCCCCCCACTCCCCGCGCGTGGCTACACCTCCACACACGAGCGGGAGGAGATGTAATATTCAAAGGGTGAGGAGAGGGTACGGGAGATAAGATTATAGAGATAATGAACTGAGGGAAGGCGAACGGGGGAGGGAGGAACTTTCCTCCTTTGGCTGCCGTTCCCTGCGAAAGCAAGAGGTTGCAATGAATTATAAATGTATTTTTTTCAAATCGTCTTCTTGGAAGAAATAGTTCATAAACAATGATTCATCACCCTCCCCAGAACTCATCCTCGCTGGAACAATTAAGCGGTGAAGAAAACTAACCCAGCTAATTCATTTCTTTCCCTGCTTTCTGACTGACGATGCTCCGTCTTCGTCATAAAAGGATACAATAAATTACCCTGTCCCCAAACCTGTTCTCCCCTCCCAATTGGGGACATTTTGGGAAGTAAATGGAGGGATTAGGAGGTTTAGGAGTTCAGTCCTTGTAAAATCAGATTATTTGCACCCCCCATTCATGTGCTGCCTCGTGTTTAGGGGGTCCCAAGCCAGGGTTTGGGATGAGGACCCATAACATCTCGCTGAGATGAGTGGCCTCATCTCCACGAAGGGGACAGGAGGGGACATGGGCTTTGACAGAGGAATATAAACAAGAGCGTGAAAGTCACACTGTGCCATTGCTTCTTCACAAAGTCATTTTTAATGCATCTGTTTTATTCCAGAGGTAACTCACCACTCGCAGGCACCGGCCGCAGGAGCTGTAAGGAGTGGTGTGAGCCAAGGAGGGGGGCAGTCGGGGGCACTGGGGGGTTTTATGGGTCATTGCCCCAACAGCGTGTGAAGTTTGGGGAGCACTTCAGGCTGTAGCTGGGAGGAGATGCCCAAAAGCAAGCACCGGGGAGACATCCCAGTTGGCACCCAGGCTGGGAAGGGTGTTTCTCTGCCCGGCCCCTCTGCCACGGCTCTGCACCCTGGGAGAGATGTTGTGGCTGGAGGGGAAAGAAGTTACCTCAGGAATTTCTGAAAGACGTCATTTCTCATTTGTTTTCTGTCAGGGTCTTCTGACCTCCGCTCACTGGGTCACAGGAGTAAATCTGTCACGGGCTAAAAGACGGGCTTCCTCTGTCGAGGTGGAGGCAGCACCCATCTGCTGAGCATCCCTGTCCCTCCGAGAGTCCCTGTCTGTGTCTGGAAACACTTGCCCTCCCTCCTCGTGTTCCTGGCTCTGCATCCATGCAGCACGAACACACGTGTACATGCACAGAAGTGCCAAGGCTGCGGGTGGGATGCTGCGGGTGGGATGCTGGGGATGGGATGCTGCGGGTGGGATGCTGCAGGTGGGATGCTGCGGATGGGATGCTGGGGATGGGATGCTGCGGGTGGGATGCTGGGGATGGGATGCTGCGGGTGGGATGCTGCGGGTGGGATGCTGCGGGTGGGATGCTGGGGGTGGGATGCTGTGGATGAGATGCTGCAGCCCCACCAGCTTTTCAGGGCAGGGGTGCAGTGGGACGCTCAGCTTTACTGGCTGCCCGTTCCTGCATCCACGGTGCCGAGGTCTCTTTCACCCCAAGCTCCTCCTACCTGCCAAATTTCCCAGCTCCTCTCCAAGGCACTTGGAGCTCATGTGGATTATACGGAGCGAGGCTGCAGTAAGTCAATGAGACTAAATGAGAGTATAAAAATGCATCTTGGCGGGGGGGGGGACAGGGGGGAGAAATGAAATCATATATATTCATTACATTTATTTAATGATGTTAATTCTCCCAGTGCCCATAACACCCTGTATACGGCGTCATCAGTCACCTGCAGCAGAGGCAGCCACCTCTGGGAGGGAACGTGGCAGATGGCCAGAAAGCCAGAGCAGCATCGCCGAGGTGGGGACATGAGGAATGCCTGCAAGGATGGACATCCCTGCCCTGGCCCCAGGGGGAGTTGAAGGAGGCAGGATGGAATTATACATCTTGGAAACTGGAAGTTTTCTACCATCAGCTGCATCCTGAGGTATTTCAGTGTCTGCTTTTTTGCGAGATTAAGGCTTGCTCGGGTGAGAAAGTCATGTTTGCTGTTGGTACACATCCCTGGCCAATGCAACCACACATGCCCAAGACATCTTGGGTGACCAAGGTGCCCAGTGTCCCCTCCTGGAGGCTGAAACTGTTTTGTCACATCCCTTTGCAGAGATATAACCCTTAAGTGTTCACTAACTCAAGTTGTCAAGTCATTGATTAGGAATGCAGACTCAGCAAATCCCGGGGTGATAAATAGCATATGACATATTAACTCATACAGAAAGCCTCTATTGCTTTGAAATCTTTTTAGGTTGATAAATTGGAGGATCTACCACAAAATCCATAATAATGTGTTTTTCTCTATAGCTCAGTTAGAAATGATAAGGTACCAAGTGTTATCAGAGATGAAAAATCTTCAAAGTATGAAAAAGTATTTTAATGTATTAAATCTGCAGAACAGCTGAAAAACTCATAAGAACAATTTCTCTGAGAGTTTCTCAGCTTTTTCCTTTCTTGGACTGGCTAACACCACACCAAGATCTGAACCTGACCAGGCCTTTGCATTCTCATCCTAGACAGAGATTTGGCCAACAAACAAACAAACAGAAGCCCCTTATGAGGACACAAGTTCAGCTCCTGTTTTCTTATTTAGAAGAAAAATTATTTTCTCTGAAGAACTTTTTTATCTCCTCACGTAAGTCCCTGCCAGAAATGTCCCGGTAGTTGACATTCACAGTAATGTGCAGGTTCACTCCATATGAAAGGAAAACCAGGTGTCTTTGCAGACAAACTGATGCCACAAACTCCATCTGATCCTCTGTGAAATCTCAGCCTGGAGTTTCGTGGAGTTCCTTGTACCAGCCAGCCTAGACTCTCACCTTAAGCACGTGCATTCAATTATTTAGCAAGGAAAATGGGTTCCTGTAACTAATAAAATATCTGATTTAGCCCCTTAATCCCATTCTAACATCTTTAAACCAGTGCCAACACAGGTGAGACCTCTGGAGAGGAAAGCTAAATACTGCTCCCTGCTTCGTGGCTTGCTCTCAAACGTGCGTTTCATTCCATCTCTGTTGTTTGGAATTAATGTTGCAAGGAGAGCAGTGGAGAGCTTTTCTAGGAAAGCACAGCAAATGCCCAGCTCCAGCAGAAACCATCCTACCACCGAGCAGATCCGCTGTAACACGAGGAATTCAGCCCGATGGCAAAGGCTTGTTTTGTTTTGATTTTTTTTTTAAATGCTCAGCTGTTAGCGACATGAGAAAACCAACTCATGGGTCAAAGCTCTGGGAGCAAATCTTTCAGCATTCTTTTTTTTTCAGGTTTTAAGAGATAAAGCCCAGCAGGTGGGAAGGAAGAGATTGAACAGGGCAGTTTTTCATTCTTCCATAAGCAAATTCTTGGCCGCAATCTCTCCGGCTCCTGGTGCGGTGGCCCTAACGAAACTAGACAGCACAGCCCGAAATCCTTCCTGCATAATTGTGTGCTTCACTGGACTGACACTGGGAATGAATTTAGCTCACCCGAGGCTCAGCTGGAAATGGGGTGGCTTTTGAGGAGCTTACGCTCTGTCCTGGTGTATCACCTGTCATTGATTGATCACCTTTTCTGCAGACTCTGACAAGAGGTATGAAATTATCCTTAAAGATGCCCCTCAGAAAGGCCCCAAGCCATTTTCTATCAGATTTACACTGTACTGGGAGGAGTGAGGCAACTACCATCTCCCTTCCCACCCCGTCATCCAATTCTGCAGCTGATGGAGCTGGTTGGGTCTAACGGGATGTCCCAGAGGAAAACCTGTGCTGAGAACAAGGTCTGGGCAAGCCCAGGAGATCAGCAGATACCAGTGATTTGGCTCTAGTCTGATACAACTCAGGTCTCAATTTTGATCACATTAGTAAGAGTTAAAAAAAAAAAAAAAAAGGAGATTTGACATATTCTGTCTTACGAGGAGAGGCTGAGGGAACTGGGGTTGTTCAGTCTGGGGACGAGGAGACTGAGGGGAGACCTTATCGCTCTGTACAAGTACCTGAAAGGAGGCTGTGGAGAGACGGGGGTCAGTCTCTTCTTCCAAGTTACAGATGATAGGACAAGGGGTAATGGCTTCAAGTTGCGCCAGGGGAAGTTCAGGTTGGATATTAGGAAACATTTCTTTACTGAAAGGGTTATCCAGCATTGGAATGGGCTGCCCAGGGAGGTGGTGGAGTCACCATCCCTGGAGGTATTTAAGAAACGTGTAGACATGGTTCTTCAGGGCATGCTCTAGTGCCCAAGATTACTGGTTTGTGGTGGGGTGCTGTGTGGGTGGGTGATGGTTTTTGGTTTGGTGGTTGTTGTTGTGTGTTTAGGTGGTGGGGGGTGGTTTGTGTTTTTTGTGTGTGTGTTTTGTTGGTTTTTTTTTTTTTTTGTGTTGGTTGGACTCGATGATCTCTGAGGTCCCTTCCAACCACTACGATTCTGTGATTCTGTGAAAAAAACCCAAAACATTTGGATTGCTTGTAGTGAAGAAGCGCTGGGTTAAAAGTCCAGGAAAATTTGGGGCGGGCTATAGTTATAAACGTACTTAACATCCTTCCTGGTGCCTGTTTCACACGCAAGGCTCGTTTTCTTGCATGTTTGCTATTTTTATTTTCTTTAATGGGTTTCAGCCGTGATATTTTTAAGAGTGCTTCTCCAGGCGGAGCAGCTGCCATTGCCGTGCTGTCAGCCTGGTTGCCATGGCTGATACGTGGGGCTTGTGCCAGAATTTTGTTGGTCAACAAGCCGCCGTCAGCGCCGCGGGGCAGCGTGTTTCCATAGCTATCCACGGAGAGGGGCATCTTCAGGTGGTGTGACACCGAATCTCCTCTTTAAAGGACTCAACCTAAATGTACTCCCAGGTCTGTAGTCTTTAATATCACTATTTAGCACCCGAACAGCTGAACTCTCTCCAAATTAGCTGGAAAAGCAAGCGTGAGGATTTTTCACGCAGGGCCGGTAGAGCAGCTCGTTTGTGCTAATCAAAAGGGAGCCATCAGCTTGAAAATGTCCCCTCTTAATTTAATTCGTGGACTTCAAAAATAAGTTTCTTTAGATGCAGGTGCCTTGAGAACATCCGTTTTTAACTCATTTGAAGTAGTGAATTCCTCTCACCGGACTTAATTAGGGACAGGTATTAAAACAAATTGAGGAAGAAGATCTTAGAAGAAAAGTGGCTTTATTAGAAAAGGACTGTAGGGCTTTTTAATTAATGCCAGAACAGCTGTCCTTTAACTGTTTCTCTCTTATGAGCAGATTATCCCAGCGAAGGCTAAGAGGCCACGGAAAACAAGGAACAAGTTCTGTTTAGAGCTTCTGGTCCCCGTCTGCACCACTGCCATCAGAAACCAGGGAGCATTTGTCTGGTCCTCCCTTGGATTGCAACATATTTCTGTTTTCTTACCATATAGACTCATCCCAGTTTGTTTCTAAGCGAATTGCTTTTTTGTTCATGTTGCATATTCCCTAAACAGTCGTATTAGTGGTGACAGCATGTCATCTTGATGGTGTTATGACAGTATGACGCCAAACTAGTATTAACATAACATTTCTTTTTAAATCTTGTCTGAAAACATATTGTTCTCCCTTGCCAGCACTTCTCTGTTTCCCTCACCCTTTACCATGGGTTTCGGGTTGCCTTTTTTGTTTCAACTCAGTTGTTGCAAGAGGGCTGATACGCAGCAGATACAGAGGCATTTTCCTGATAATTCAGGTGATGAGATGAAGGGAGAGAAGAATGAACCTGTTTGCCCAAGGCTGTGCAGAAGCCTCTGCTGGGGGAAAGCCCCAAGCCCACGTTTCCCTGGACAGCATCCTCCTTCCTCTTATGCTTCGCCTTGCTCAGATTTATTGAGTTTAGATTTTTGAAGTTTAGGGTTCAAGATCCCCATCACTACCACGGAATTATTTCTATTTTTTCTACATTTTCTTCTACAGCCTCAATTAAAAGGTGGACTCTGATGTCCCCCCAAATGGTGAAGTCAGCCTTAAATTCAGAAAGCTCGTGAAGAGAGGAGAGCTGTAAAGTCAGGGGGACGAGGAGCTCTCTGTGTGCACGAGTGGGATGAGCAGATGCTTTTACTTCTTTGAATGTCCTGCTTTTCTGATGTGAGGTCTGAGGGATGCTCGCTCAGGGATTGAGCTGGTTTGGCTGAGAAATAAAAATTGTTTGCTAGATGGCAGGCATTTTTTAGAAGGAAAATAAAATAGAGAAATAGGGTTGGGGTTTTTTTTCCTGAGAAAGAGTTTTTTATGTTAAGAGTGAGCAATAGGAGTTGAGAAATCCCATCCAGTCCCTGTGACACACAGGCAGCGAGACACACGCTCCTGGGCATTGGAGGGAGAACAAATTGCCAAGAAGGAGCTGCAGTCAGCGAAACAGAGAAAAATCCAGCTGGCCTTTCCTGCAGCCCCCCCGCTGGAGGCAGAAGCCTGGCTGGCAGACACCAGCCCACCCAGAGCCCCCTCCCTCACTGGTGGAAGGCCCAGGGAGAAGGTGACACCGAGAGCTGCAGCTCAGCACTGTGGAGACCCGAGGCTGGAGACATCAACCTCCCCGTGCCACTGAGCTGGCAAAACCTGGGGGCATCTTTGCCCGACCCCTCTCACCTCCCTGGGGTGGTGGGGGAGAAATATGTGGTCCAGATTGGCTTAGTGTGTTGCTGGCTGCAAGGTTCTCCTGGCTCCCAGCCCGTTAGTGATGGAGGGAGGATGGGAGGGGGGTCCTGTGATGCCATGGACATTAAAGCTCCCTGACAGCCCACTGAAGGGGGTGAAACATCCCCTTTCCTCTCCAACAGCACGTGGATGAGCACAGACCCCATCCCCCTGGACAACTGGCCCCCCACGGCTCCTCCTGCCCCCTTGCCCCCAGCCCTTTCCTCACAGCAAACTTTTGCACAGGTTTTAGTTTTGCCTATTTGCTTTCCCAGCTTTTCCTTCCTCCTGCTCCCTGACCTGACAAGCGCTCCTTTTAGCAGAGTATTAATTATCATCGCAGTGCTGGGACTAGTAATTATCCCTCCCTTGTGCTTTCTGGGCTTCCCAGCAAGGCTGGTGACGAGGACAGGGTGAAACAGCTCAGCTGGTGAGGGGCTTGTGGTGTGTCCCTCGGAACTGTGGTAATTGTCCTGTGCCAGAGAGGAGGGAAGGAAGGAAAGAAGGAGGAAAAGGAGAAAATCACCTCTTTGGAGTCAATGGTGAGTCAGAGAACTTGGCTTGTAGCCTTTAACCAAGGGGGTTTCTTCCCAGTGGCTCCCAGAGTTTGTAACAGAGAATAAAAAAAAAGAGGTAACCTTAGGCCACCTACCAGGAGATGGAGAAGCCCAGGAGGGCTGAGAGGACCATAACCACGTTTGCCACTGCTTGTATCAAGAAGCAGGAGAAAAAATCCTGATAGAGACCTACCGGGGGGTATAGGGAGAAGATTGCAGATGTGAGGACACACCTGCATGTTCCTCTGTGAGTATTTGTACGGGGCACCTGCAGCAGCCTTTGCTTTTGATGGGGGATTCCTTCTGTTTCCTCATGGGATTCATGTGGACTGGCACACCCCGGCACAGCAGCACCCATTTAGTTCTCTCACTGATGTCAACTGCCACGTTAGTGCCCAGTTTACAAGCTCTGTCCAGAACAAAATCATACCCATTTAGCACATTGCATGTCACGGAGCATTTGAAATGAAAATCTCTGCTGCTGCTGCTCTGAGATGCTTGTCACCGGCTGATGGGACCTGCCTCTGGAGATGATGGCCATGGTGAGCCCCGTGAGGACGCGTGGTGTGGGATGGCAAAGCCAGAGAGCACCGAGGTGAGAGCCCAGATGCCTTCCAGGGCACAGTGCTACCACTGCTGCCAGAAACGCCACAGCTCTCTGTCATGATTAGGGTAAAAAAAAAATAAAATAAAACTACTCCTCTCTGGCCAAAACTGTGAATTTTTCTTCAGCAAAATGACAACACTCTGCTAGTGAAAATTGCCTTTCATTACAGCAGGGAGGGGGAAAGGAGATAAAAATGAAATAAGCTCTGCTTTTCTTCCCTTTATGTCCATTTCACAAACCTGGAAGGATTCTTTCTGTCTTTCCCCCCCCCTGCTTCTAGTTTCCTTCAGCAGTGAGAAGTTTTATTTCAATTTACTGTGTATTTGTCTGGGAATTTAGGGATCTCAGGAAAATCACAGCCCGAGTCTGGCAAACACTGCTAATTGACATAGTGAGAGGCAGGGTGTGCTCTGAGCACCTTTTACTTGAAATATTCTCTATTTGAGTGCCAGAAGGAAGATGGATGAGGAGACTTTCCCATGGCCACCCTCAAAAATCAGTGGCAGGAGGTGAAATGAAATCCTGATCTCCCACCTCCTGGGTCCTTGTGGAAGGCTCTCCATTTGGGGATTCTTTTTCCAGCATCAAGGAGTAATTGTAGCAGCGGAGCCCATCATTAATGGGAGCAGACAAAAATATGCCCACCAAGGTAGTGATCAGCCCTGCAAATGTAGCTGCCCTGAGAAACTTAATCCTCAAACCCATCAGCATTGCATCTCTGCCTTTGCAGCAAGGGAATTTTGAGCATCTTCTCTGACAGAGTGGAGCCAGCTGGGCTTTTGGACTCTGGGCTAAGGAAGATGATATTAGGCTGGATATTAGGAAAAATTTTTTTCACTGAAAGGGTTATCAGCCATTGGAATGGGCTGCCCAGGGAGGTGGTTGAGGCACCATCCCTGGAGGTGTTCAAAAGCCGGGTTGATGTAGTGCTGGGAGGTCTGGTTTAGTGATGAAGCTCCTTGTTTGTTGTGCAGGTGTCTATTTTTGTCAGTTAGGTTGACGGTTGGACAAGATGATCTTTAAGGTCCCTTCCAACCTAGAAGATTCTGTGATTCTGTGATTCTGTGATACCGAGCTCTTGGCTCTGCCAGCGACTCTCTATGTAACCTTGGTCAAATCACTTGCCACTTCGAAGAGGGTGGGAGAGGATTTGGTGCAGCAGCTATCGAGGGTGGGCAGCCCAGCTTTCCCTGTGCCTGGGGGAGCACCAAACCGAGCTGCTGAGGGTGCCAGCACGGTGTCAGCCTCCTGCCACCACCGATTTGGGGCAGCCCTGGATACCATCACTCTGTACCGACTGTCACTTTCCTCTCCAGCTCAGCAAAGACAGTCCAAATATGGTCCCAAATCACCACCTGCCTCAATTTCCCCATTCATTAAATGAGACTAATCATCCCTTTCAGTTTTGCATTGCCAGCGTTGCAGTGCCATGGAGAACCTGATAGAAAAGGGTTTTCTCAGTGAAGGTGAGTGACACCCTGGATCTCAACAGCTCCCCTGGTCGGTCATCCCCCAACCACGGGGGCTCTGCTGATTTGGGGGCACGTGCACGTCCCCCCCACACACACCAGTTAACGAACTGGCTCAGGAAACCGCATCCCTCCTCCATCTCGCATGAAGGCAGATTGCTCACGGGCGGAGGAAATCTCCTGGAGAGTGAACCTTGTCAGCAAAAATGCAAATATTTGGAGACAAAGTGTTCATTACAGCAGAACTTGATTTCAGGGTCAACCCTTTTTGCAGCAAATTGTTAGCCAGCTAAAATGTTTATTGTCACCACACTCTGGCAGTTTTGACAGTACCTATCAAGTTGAGCTTGACAATATCTGCATACGGCTTCTCCAGCGTTCCCTCGCGCGGCGATGAGAGAGGTGCTGGAGGAGGAGATTGAAGAAAACAGGCAACAGATAATTGGAATGATCCCCTTCTTTGTGAAAAAAAAAGAAGCAAAACAGGGCTGTTGTGGCCCAGGGGAGCTGTTTAAGAGGAGGGAAGTATAACACAGACTGTGATGCGGTGGTGGGGTGCACGGTGAAACACCCAGGGTGGATTTTTATATTTTTTTTCAGATGTAAAACTGCACACATGGAATAAACTCCCCCCGATCTGGCTGTGCATCAGCAGAAATCACAGCCTACAAAAGGGACAGTATTTCCTTTGGTTTTTTTCTCCATGAGCCGCGCAGCTTCCCAGGGAACCATCCAGATATCAGATAGTTTTCTCTGGTGAAACACCAGGGGTGGATTTTTATTTTTTTTTTTCAGATGTAAAACTGCACACATGGAATAAACTCCCCCCGATCTGGCTGTGCATCAGCAGAAATCACAGCCTACAAAAGGGACAGTATTTCCTTTGGTTTTTTTCTCCGTGAGCCGCGCAGCTTCCCAAGGAACCATCCAGATATCAGTGGAGTTTTGCTGATTTTTCTCCAGTCTCATTCGGGCTCTTCAGCTCCGGCGCTGAATCTGCTCCCCTTAATTCCTGCACAGGTCTAAGGCCAGTGGGACCTGGGAAGATCACACTGTTGGCAAGCCCAGAGCCCAATGAGATAAAGTCCCACATCTCTGAGATGCTCTGAGAGCAGGGGCTGGAGGGAGCCAAGGCCAGTTCTGCCTCACTGGTGAGGGGGAGAAACTGGGAGGCAGCAGCAGGACTTAGAGGAGAAAACAAGATGGGGATGAAAACCCTAAGAAAGGGTGGAAAAGGGAAATGCAGCCACAGCGCCTGCTCCTGCACGTT